GGCCCATTGTCCCCTTTGTTACAAAAATTTCTGTATAGATTGTTTAAAGACTAAACAAGGAATACAGGATATACCTACTTTCTTAGGAAAAGAAGAAAGTACAAAAGACAAAAATTTAATCGACACTAGGACTTCAGTCTTAGAAACCCGATTAAACCTAATTGAAGAAAATGTTCTTCACTTAGAAAAAATTGTAAAAGAAAAAGATACACTGGATAATGTGTCTTTAGTTTCAGAACCTTTGGTTGGGTTCATTAACACAAATGATGAACCAACAGATACCCTGGATAATGTATCTTTAGGTTCAGAACCATTGTCTAAGTTAGACAACATAAATAATGATACATTAGATAATGTATCCATAATTTCAGAACCCTTATCAACATTAGGGTTAGTAAATACAAATGAGGGATCAAATAGTTATCAACCTCACAGCTATCAGTTACTTCCTGATGGTATACACAGTTACTCTGTTGGTTTTCCACCTAGAGTATCACCACAAAACGTTGTCTTTAGTGACAACCAATACACAACATTAGGCAAGAGGCTTCCGATAGAGCCAAATTTCCAAATGTCTAATCTTCTTCTAAACATAGGAGGAATAGATCCTCAACTATTGCCAACATACATTGAGCAATGGACTGCAGCTGTAATCCATGATTATGGCATACATCATGAGAAAGATGTTCACTCTTCTCAAGAAATGATTGCTAAAGCTGAAACCTATTTAGGTGATATAGTTAGAGCTTGCTGGGAATCTTTTAAGAAAAATTACCCAGCCGACTTAAATATGTTTGTGATCGAACCAGGTCCTAACATATACAATTTTTGTTCTTTGTTACAAAAATTGCTTACTTCCCAGTCTGCTAATGATGGGAACACACTCAGACAACAGATTTATCTGGGTCATTTAGAAAGACTTTCCATAACATACTTTGGAAAGATCAAAGAATTTTTACAAGATTATCTCATGTACGCATCTATAGCTGGATGTTTCCATGATTTAAGCATAGGAGAAAAGATGTTTCTCAAACTACTAGGAAAACTTGGCCAAAAGATCCGAGAATCCTGGAAAAATGAAGAGGTTACTCCCATGTTGAACAACCTCTCTATACGTATACAACACATCATGAAAGTGATGGAAGATACGTGTACACATATTGCTATACAAAAGCAATTAAAAAATTCCGATGCTGGAATTTGCAAACAAATTTGTACTCCTCAGCAGTATAATCAAAACAAACCTTACAGAAGGCCTATACCTAGAAGTAAACTTAGGTATAATAAAAACTACAATCAGAATTTTTATTCTGAAAGACAAAAACCCATAACTTCTAGAAAGACTTACACGATTAGGTCTTCAAATTCTAGAAAACCAACTCTAAATCCTGATAGACACGTCAGAAAATTTAGAGAAAACAAAACATACAAGCAAACTTTGAAATGTTTCGCTTGTAATCAACCAGGACACTTCTCTAGAGATTGTCCTAACATTACAAACCTTTACACTAAAGAGGCAGAATTGATAAAATCCTGCCACATGAACCTTCTTCTAATAGATGAAGATGTTTCTACTGACTCTCAAATACTATCAGTGATTAGTATTACAGAGTATAATGATGAAATCAATTTAGACAAAAGCCATAAAGATTATGGCCTAATAAATGATTTCACAAATAATGAATTCATTCACCTTTATCCTAATGAAAATGATTTTCAACTGGATAATAAATATAATGAATTAGGAAATATATTAGATGATTATGGATATTGTCTAATGAATACAACAGTTTCTTCTTTTAAGGAAACTAACAAAAGGGTATTGCAAAGTTCCTTTAGTTATACAGGTACTACTATGGCAAACCCAATCAACAAAGGCAAGTTACCAGCCCCAACAACTGAAGAGTTTGATACTCTAAAGTTCAGAACACAGCATCTTCCGGTTTTACCAGAAGGTCACCCTCAACAATTCAAATGTCTGAGGAACTGTCCCGTTTCAAGGGAACAAAAGGTATTACTTGATGCTCTTCATCGAGCTTGTAATACAACAACGAAGTTTAATGCTATTAATGCATTAAATTATTACTTTGCAAAAATGTTGCCCGCTACTTTTAAAAAACCCAAGAAAGAGGCCTACTGCCTTTTTACTGGAGACAAGCGTGGCGTCTACCTATCATATCCCTCTCTGTTGAATGCGATAGGTAATGACAAACACGGAAAATTTCAAGGATTTGATAACCTTGAAGAAGCAGTACAAGCGATGGTCAACTATGTTGGAGGTGACAACAGTTTGTTGGACCATCCCGAAGTTGGTAATTTCATTTTTGAAAAACTAACAAAACAAAAGAATTTTTCAATTTATGATTCCATTAAACTTAGACAACGCTTGGCTTTTGCCAAGAAAATGGAACAAAAATTGAAAAACTCCTTTTCTTTTCAGAAAAATGATTTTCAAAAACATATTTCCTGTTTGGAAATAGAAAATAAAGATTTAAAAACCGAAATCTTAGAACTCTGTAAAAAGATGGACTATGATTTCGAAACCATTGATTATGGAACTTTTACAAATAAAATGGCCTATGTTGGGTCATTCAAAAGAAAATTTTTGGGACAACTTCCCGGCCCAATCCAAGAAAAAATCTACGAACAGATTTTTGTTGCCTTGTTAGTAGAACTTGGAGTACTACAAAACTGGTTATTCCAATTACCAGTAGATTCTACACTCCGCCTATACTTGAGGATAGTCCAATATCAAGATGATTCGACACCTTCATCTTCCGATCAGTACAACATCGGAATAAACCCTTATTTGGTGGAATGTGATCCTGCTTGGATCAGTAAACAATTAACTGAAGATATATTCTTTTCAGGATTCATGAAAAGGATGATTATTTTCAGAAACTATGATAGAACCATTTTTCGGTACCAAGATAAATTACTGGATAAATGCGTTCTTTCAAAACAATTACAGTGAGAAATATTTCATTGAAATATTATCAACACACCCCTACAGCATAAAAGGGGAATATTATCCAGCTAAACATCACTTGTTTTTGGATACTGAGTCATTCGCTGATATTTGTTTCAGTAATAACCTCCAAAAGATTGATCATAATGATCCTCCTTTCACTGCAGCGAGGTATGATCAATTCAAGGATGAAGATATCCACAAAGAGTTGTTAGCCGAAACCACCACCATCAGTCTTTGGGTGAAATTTGGCAAAGCTGCTCATGTACGGCAGAATTGTACAAATCCCGCCTCCCCACAACCAATGAGTCTTTCTGATAAAGACGATTTTACCCTTGAAGATTTTGAGGAACTCCTAATGGCGTAATCTCTCACGTCATTAGCCACACAAAGACCATATTGCCCTTGAGGATTTCGAGGAGATTCTCATGACGTAAGCCCTTACATCATAAACGGCTGTATCAAAAGATGACAAAGGTTAATAACAGATAATGATATCTTGCTACCTTGTCACGATTCCTCTTCCGTTACATGTTGTTAGGCCCATTAAGCCTTGCATGTTAATGACGGTAAGATTGAATCAGTCTTTTGATAAAATGTAAAAAAAAAAAAAAAATTAATTGACGTCACTATTTTTGTCCTTTAGTGATGTCACTATTATTGTTTTTGTTTTTAGTAAGGAAGTTTCCTCCGTAGGATTACTTCTTTGCTAAGTTTTGAGACCCATTAGTCATAAAGTGGGTCCCACATATAAATTACTATTCATTAGTTTAATATTTTTGTTTTTTTATATAAGACTTCGTAAGTCCCTTATGCTGGGCAGAAGAAGCATTTTAAGAGGCACCCCCAACCTCTCTCCTCTCCTCCTTCTCTCTACTTCTTATGTAAATTTCTTACTATAATAAGAGAAGTTATTTAGCATCTCCCCTCTCCTTCTCCTTCTCCTCCCCCAAGTAAGTGTTCTTTGCTCCCCTTATGAAGTAGTTTTCTTATAAGGGCATCATCGGATGCCTTAAGCTTTATTTACTAAAAGATGCGATAATCATTTAAAGGCTCAAATAAATTTTTGTACGAGCTTTATTTGTGTTCATATAAGCTTATGAGGAGATGTCTAACCAGATTATCTTGGATTCGAGTCATCTCATAATCTTATCATGGACTTTCTCTAATTTGAGATATCTTATTATTTTAATTAATATTTTTTCTTTTTTAAAACTTAGAGAAATTAAAAAAAATGTCAAATGCTCAAAAAGAACAAAACAAAATTAAAACCAATAAGATTGTAGAGATTTAAAACTTAAAGCACAGTGATTTTTTCATAACCAAAAATTATATAATCTTTTAAATAATTATTTTTATTAATATAATAATTTATAGAATGATTTAATAAAAATAAAATAAAATAATTATTATAATATTAAAAAAAGTTATTTATAAGAATGGTACGAATATGAGTTGTATTTTCTAAACTTAAAATAAAAAATTAAACAGGAAATATAAAAGTTTCGAATTAAAGACGAGAATAATAATAAAAAAAAAAAAAAATCCGTGGCGGCTCCTTCAACACGACGCCTGGTACATCTCACGTGTCATGCAAAAGCGAATACATATTTTTCCTTCCATTTTACTTTATATATATAGTCTCTGCGTAGTCATATTCGTATTGGTTTCTTCATTCACAAACCTAGTTATTCCTATTGCCACGACGCAGGTAATTTTCCGTTTCATTTCTCGGGGGAAAAAAAAAAAAGCAGAGAAACAGAATATCGAGAATTCACTGAATTCTGCAACCGGTTTTGTTCTGTTCTTCTGTTAGTTCTCCCGTCGTTTATTGCTGCAGCCTGCGTTGACTGGCTGATGTAGTGATCTCGATGTTTCTGTGTTGATTGTATTGTTGTTAGATGCGTGCTAGATTTTACCTTATTTTTTTCAGCTGACAAACAGTGTTTGCAGTGTGTGATTTCTGAACTGATTTGACATTTTGCGGTTGTGATGTTGTTGGTGTAGATTTAGTTGGGATTGTTCGATTGCCATGGCTAGGAAGATGCTTATCGACGGTGAAGCTGAGACGGTTCCAGTTGTAGAAGAAGGGACAAATTTTGACTTCGACTTGTTTATTATTGGGGCTGGAAGCGGTGGCGTTCGTGCCGCTAGATTTTCATCGAATTACGGAGCTAAGGTTTGTAACTGTGTTGGTGTTTAACAGTTAACAACTAATGATATATAATTATATTGTTAAAGATGATTAATCTTTAAAAACAGCTTTGCTTTTGAGGATCTGAGTTACTGATGCTTTTCTCGATTTTTGGAGAGTGGTGGGATTTTCGAAATATTTGAACATTTTTTCAAGATCCTTTTAGGATTCGTTCTTCTCTAGCTTAAAAAACAAGAATTGTGCATATTTTAGTGCCGAAATATTAAAATACAACTAGTAGTACGGAAGGACTTCAACTCTTCTTAATAAATTAGCTGATCTTGTGTTGTTGAGTGTTATTATCTTACGTATATTACTGGTTTTTTTTTTTCTTTTTTTTTTTTTTTTTTTTTTTTGGCCTTATCCATAATATTCTGCAACCTGTGTCTGAAGGTGGGGATTTGTGAGCTTCCATTTCATACAATTAGCTCAGAAACGATTGGAGGAGTTGGAGGAACGTAAGTCATAAACTTGACATCTCTTTCCTTTGTATATATTACTTTCTTCTGTCACTTTCCTCTCTTTCTTTTTATATACTGGAGACTTTCCTTGTTAATACACTGGACAAAAACGTCTAGTGTTTAGTTGAAGACAACACTCCACTTCGATACGGGTTTTAAATTCTTGATACATTTTATTCTACCCTCTTTACCAATATTTATGCGATTGATATGAAGATAATGACTGTGTCGTTGCAGTTCTTATGAAATAGTTGTTCTGAAGCATGTTAATTGCTTTGCTTATGTTAAAAGCTGTTTGCGAGTTTGTTAAGTAATCAGATGCCACATATTTTTCTAGTAAACGAAAATTCTAATTTGATGTAGCTAGCTCACTGTCAAACCTTTACGTAATGTGCATACTGAATTGCCTTTTGCCAGATCATACATTCACATCACCGTTACATAGATTTTGATTCTGCACATTATAGTTTTTGGTGGGGAGATTTTTCTCATTTGATTTTTTTTAAATAAAATTTTGTTCTCAGGTTTGCTAAATAATTTTTTGTGGTTGCTTGTTCAGTTTTTCTTCTTGATTGTGAAGATTTTACTAGGATTTAATTATTGTGCCATGGCAAAATGGCTTAGTGGAACTTTTGCCTCTCCATAGGTAATTAGTGAAAGTGGCCTGCTATGGAGGCACCATAGACGTTGATGGCATGTTTTATGGTGGAAATATGGCCTTCCACTCCACCAGATTCTGCAATCTGCCACTGATAACACTGTACTACATAAAGCTGAATATTGGGCTCAGCTACATAAATTAGTAAAGGAAGAGACATAGAATATCATTTAGATCATCTTCTACAATTTATCTATTTAGGGGGTCGTTTGGGGAAATGACATCTCCAGACTGCTGAAATGACTTAGGGGAAATATCTTGATTGGTAGATCACAAAACCATGCCTGTACGGCAAGAGGGGGCATGTTAGATAATAAAAGAATTCATGTACTTTTACCTAACAGAAAACCATTTATGGTGACTGAATTTCTATACAAAAAAACTGATTTCTGTATTTGTTCACTACTTATCATGACAGTGAGATTGTTTTTTATTTAGTTTAAGGGCTGATGTAAATTGTGACTTGTGATCTTTAGAACTTATAATGAGAGTGAATATTATATTTTTATAACTTGCAGAATCACTGGAAATTTGGAAATGAAATTATAGTTGCTTTTGGTTTTTGGATCAAAATGTCTTCCCTAAAAGAATTTGGAGAAACATAAAAGAAATATCTTGCTTTAAATGATTATAAAGAAAATTTTGTTTTTTGATACAGCATAATGGTATTGATTGGCCCATGTAGCTAACCTGACGCAGGGGGATCTTGTATTTGGATGGTAGGTTGAATTAGTCACACACATTCTTGGGAAGCATACCCTGACTATCTCTTTGTGCTGTAACTCCAAGATTTGTATGATATAGATCAACAATTTAGAGTCTTGTTTCTTCAACTTTTATATTATTTCTGCATGGTATGCTGATTTATTTGCATTTTTATTAACATGATACACTCTTTATCTTTTCACTAATCAGCACTAATAAATTTCCTGTTTTTGGCTGTCAGCTAGTAATTTTTGCTGAATACTTTAGTTTAATTATGGTGTACTTGGAAAATCCAAGTCACAAATTGGCTAAATATGATATAACACAGTTCTTCTCCTCTTTTTCATCCTTTACTACTCTTCTTAATGGCCAATGATATCTCTCCAACTTGTAGTTAATGAAAATGCTTATATTTTTTTTTTTTTTTTTTTTTTTTTTTTTTACTTTAAAGGTGTGTTATTCGTGGTTGTGTTCCCAAAAAGATTTTGGTCTATGGAGCATCTTATGGAGGTGAACTTGAGGTAAGCATTTGTTCTTAAATCAATTGATGTAAACATGAATAGTAACTTAGTATATAACATGATTGTTTTAATTTCCCCACAGTCTACTGATGTACTGGACTGTGCAACAACACTTTTCTTTTTCTATCTTTGCAGGAGACAATATTTACTCCAATGGAAACAATTTCATGAAGTTGATTTTTTTTTTCATGTCCCTGAAAGGAATATTTTAAGGCCTGCTTGTTTAAGCTTAGAGAAAAGGGTTTCTCAATTAATAACTTTGAAATATTTTATGTAGTTGGATAAATTTTGGAAAATATGCAGAAATAAAAAAAGTTTTATTGTTTCTTATATAGCTAGAAATAGTAAAATAAATTTGTATCATATATTTGTTTTTGTTTTTGAAGCTTATCCTAGTGCATCCCTCTTACATTAAAATTTGAGTTCATGTGCTTCATCTAAGCTTTTAGTACTTGCTAGATTTACATGTTATCTGATCTGATGTGAAGTAGTTACAGTAGGATTGGTTCAATTCTAATAAAATATGGTATGCAAATCCAATTAAAAATAATATTATAATCATCACATAATGTATTGGTCTTCCCTTTGTATTTTTTATTCATGCTGATTCATAATTATTATAGTTTTATCAGTGTTACTTATATCATTATCTGTAAAATGCATGTTTGTTCTTTGACAGGATGCCAGGAATTATGGGTGGGAATTGAGTGAGAAAATTGACTTCAATTGGAAGAAACTCTTGCAAAAGAAGGTATTTCAAGATTTTACTTTTATGTTTTGTTATTTCTTCTAGATTACTAAAATCAGATTAGTGTCCCTTCCTCAAGAACTTTTAAAGATATAGTTCGGGTTGTCTTTGATTTTATAGAATTTTTTTTATAAACTGTATATGCAAGTCCTCCTGCTTGTTTGCTTATAATGAAGCAAAAAACAGTTCATCTATTAGCTTTTAACCTTGTCGAATGAACTATTTGTGATCCATGTAATGGGCCTCATAGCGAGATAAAACTTTGTTGTTGTTTTTGTGTTTGTTGGTTGTTCAATAATTTTTGCTTTATCAAAATGCAGACAGATGAAATAAACAGATTAAATGGAATTTACAAGCGGTTGTTATCCAATGCGGGGGCAAAATTATTTGAAGGTGAGGGAAAGATAGTTGGTCCACATGAGGTTGAGGTGACACAATTGGATGGCACAAAACTGTCCTATTCTGCCAAGCACATATTGATTGCAACTGGTAGCAGGGCTCAACGTCCAAATATTCCAGGACAGGTGAATTTGCTTGTTTTGAAATATTATTGCAAAATGGTCCTACTGACATGATTGATACTTTTATGAGTATAATATTTGTAAGATGTTAGATTTCTATGGCGTGTAATAATGATAATAATACTGTGAATAAATGATTCTAATAATACCTTACTTCTATTCATTCTAATAACAAAATCAAGTACTTGAGTAATATAGTTCAATTCAATCAAAGAAACTAGCTTAAGAAGACTTGTAACCATCGGTGTTGTGATTGACGGATAGCAGTGAGCCCAAAATCCGTCATATACATATGGATGATGGTGTGGTGGTGACAAATGGTGGACAAAAAAGAAATGTAATACACATATAAACACTAAAAAATTTGTTGATATAAATAAAAATAGATATGAATACACAGTAAAAAATCTGTTGATATAAATAAACAGTAAAAGTAACTTAAATAAAACTAAAAAGACAGCAGATATAAATACTAAAAAAATAGATATGAATAAAAAAAAGTAAAAAGAAGTATATATAGAACTAAATATAAATAAAAAAAATCCTAAAAACACAGTGGATGTATTAACTAGAAAACCTTAGACAACTTTAACAATGGATTACATTCCTAGAAACACATGATTAGTTGTTTCATGAGTTGAAAACAACCAACTCCTAACAAATTGAAAGAGGAAAGAGAGTCAAACCATAATATAGGAAGTTAACAACGAGAAACCAGGACCAAACAACAAGTAGAGGCAAGGAGAGAGGTAATCCAAAGAGAAAAATAACAAATAGGGACAAAAATAAAAACTTAAGAGCCAAAAGAGAACATGGCAAAGAGAGAAATAGCATGAGCGAGAAATGATGTTAGACAAATGACATCAAGGAGGGGGGTTGAATTGATGCTTTAAAAAATGTCTTGATGTCTATACCTTAAATTTTTTTTTTTCAATTTTATTAATTAAGTGCATTACCGGAAGCGTAAAATAAAGAGTAAAGGAAAAAAGAGATTTACGCAGTAATTTATACTGGTTCGGGTATAACGAACCCTATATCCAGTTCCCAGCCACCTCAATGTGAGAATGACAATCCCAATTCACTATCATATTAGAGTATTTCTATTACAACCACAATGACCTAGTGAAACATGCAAAAGAAAAATTCTAAAGACTAATAAACACCTCTCTTGAGCCCTTTCAAGAGATGACAACACCTCCCTTGAATCATACAAGGGATGAAACACCTCCTCTGTACAAAACAAATGATGAAGATTATAAAAAAGATTGAAACACTGTCACCTGGAAGGTAAGAGTACAAAAGACGGAATGTTCAGGTGTATTTTCGTGTTTTTAACTCAGTAGTAGTGTGTTGTCTCCTTTTTCTTTCTTTTTTCTCAAAATTGGGTTATTTATAAAAATTACTTGAATTTTCTTAAAAAGAATTCAACTAATTCAAATAAAAAATCAATTTGAAAATCAATTTTTATTCTCTGCAGAAAGAAGAATTTTTAGGAGAAGATATAGTCAGATAATACTTGATTTAAAAAATAGATTAAATTCAAAAGATATTATTAATTTTAAATAAAATCAAATAAATTCGAAAATCAATTTTTCTTCTCTTCACAAACATAATTTAATTATGTTTTAACCTTAATTGATTATGTGCATAAAAAAATGATTTCACTTGTGAAGAGAGATGATTTGGCTGATTATTCCTCTTCTGCTTCCTCTTTATATAGAGAAACTTGACACCCTAGACACTCTATTTTTATCTTGAGCTTCTCTTAATCTTGTAGAAGTTTTTCTTGAGTATCCATCAAAATTTTTAGCTTCAAAGGGGTAGTGGTGACATCCTTTTTGTTAACATTCTCCCCCTTTTTGATGATGATCAAGAAAACACCTATAATGAAAGTAATTGTTTGACCTTGTAGTTAACTCAAGATTAACACAAGTGGTTAGTGTTGAATAATCATATCATTCATTAAAGGATTTATATCACATGGATTAATTCAAACACATTAAGCTTCCTCTTACAATAACATATATTGCTCCCCCTATTTGTGAGCACAATATAAACATTCAACACATATAATCATCCAACATATAATCAAAACAAAAATATAGAGTCACTCCCCTTTTTATTGATTAACATTAAAAAAGGAGTAATATAACTCCCCTTTTTATTTGGGCATATAAAGGCTTTCTGCATGTTTAGAGGTGATAGAAGGAAGTCAGTGACCGTTTGGAAAAGACACATTTGAACATTTATCAAAATATTTGTAGGAAATCAAATAGTATTTTAGGAAAGAATAAATTAGGAAATTTGTATATTTCCTTGTAACACATATTTGAACAATTAGGAACAATTCCATAAATCAAGAGATCCTAGAATAAAATAGTTATTATATTTCCTAAAATAGCTTAAGTCTTCTGTATATATCTTGTATGATCTCTTTGTATGAAAAATAATAAAATTAGATTTCATTTAATCTAATTTTCCAGATGGTATCAGAGCTTCCGATCTAGGAAGCTCTGTCTGTGCACAATAAATCCTAAGACGGCAGCCTACATTGCTGTTGCATCGCACCTTCTTGCTATAATGTCAATGGATCTCATGTTAGAGAGTCTAGTAGTAGAGAACCCAACAATGGTGGCTGACCATAAAGGAGATCAGACTTTGGCCATGGTAGCCGAAAAAAAGAAAGGAGGATCAGCAAATATGGAGAAGAAAGGTAATGGTCTCTGGTGTACTTACTGCAATAAACCTCGTCATACCTGAGAGAAGTGCTGGAAGTTACATGGGAAGCTCTTAAATCGAGACCGATAAGGAGGACACAGAGGAGGCCCCTCAAGGAAAGGAGGACAAGTTTATGTTGCTGCTGAAACAAATGAAGGAAATAATCCAGAAGTTGTTGTCCATCTTAACCAAGAAGAGATAGAAAGGATGAGAACTTCTTAGTAAGCTGGAAAAACCTACAGGTGTGTGTTCTTTAGCATACTCAGGTAAGTTTCCACTTTCTTTTAGATTAAATGTCTCAGATACACCTTTTAACCATTATTGGATATTGGACTCTGGAGCCAAAGACCACATGACACCATTAGCCAAACACTTCTCCACATATTCCCCATGTCCCAGCAACAAGAAAATAGTTACAGTAGATGAAACCCTTATAACTGCAACTGGTCAAGGAAATATCCAAATCAATCCTTTAATAACCTTAAAAGATGATCTCCATGTCCCAAAGTTGTCCACCAACCTAGTCTCTATACAAAAACTTATAAAGGATTTGTCATGTAAAGTTTTTTTCAAAGATCATTGTGTATTTCAGGACAAGGATTCGGGGAGGATGATTGAACATGCTAGAGAATGGAATGATCAACAGAGAAAAAAATCATGTTTTATGATTGTCGGTTGGGACATCCCTCTTTTGGAGTGATCAAAATTATGTTTCCCTCTCTATTTACAAAGTTAGATGTTGAGAGTCTTCATTGTGAGGTGTGTGAACTTACTAAGCACAAGCAGGTATCTTTTCCAATAAGTAATAAAATTAGCAATTTTCCTTTTTATCTTGTTCATACTGATGTATGGGGACCTTCTAATGTTCCAAATGTGTCTAGTGCTCGATGGTTTGTCACCTTTATCAATGATTATACAAGGGTCACTTGGGTATTCCTACTTAAACAAAAATCAGAAGTCAGTTTTGTTTTCCTAAACTTCCACTCCTTGATAAAAGATCAGTTTAGTGTTAATATTAAGAGGATTAAGTCAGATAATGTCAAAGATTATTTCAATCATGTCCTTAATTCTTTTTGTCAAAAAGAAGCTATAATTCATGAGTCCTCTTGTGTCAAAACACCACAGTAGAATGGGGTCACAGAGAGGAAAAATGGACATCTATTAAATTAGACTCGGGCATTATTGTTCCAAAAAAGTGTCCCAAAAAATTTCTGGGGGAAAGTTGTCCTTACAACAACACACCTTATCAATAGACTACCCTCAAGAGTCTTAGGATAAAAAAGCCTTATAGAAGTTTTGTCGTCTTTCTATCCAAACCTATCCACTACAAATAATCTTAAACCATGAGTTTTTGTCTCATATGTCCATATTCATAGTACAGACAGGGGGAAACTTGATCCTAGAGCGTTAAAGTGTGTCTTTGTTGGTTATTCATCCACTCAGAAAGGGTATAAATGCTATCACCTCCCATCCAAAAAATTCTTTATGTCTAGGGATGTTACCTTCAATGAACAAGAGGGTTATTTCTATCAACCTTATCTTCAAGGGGAGAGTTTCAGGAAAGATAAGGAAAATAGTAATTCTGATTTTCCCATTCTTCCAAATTTGATATTTGAACCTAAACGAGATCAAGTTGAAAATGTAACAAGTGAAACAAGTCAAGGAAGTGAAGTTGGTCAAGGAATGGTCAAGAAAAGGAAGCTGGTCAAGAAAGTGAAATTAATTGTGAAATTGATCAAGGAGATGTTGAAGCTGGAAAATTTGGTAAGAAGCTGGTGTACTTAAGGAAGACTAAGGCCATTCCAGGATCAAGCTATGTTAAGAATCCAACTTGACTCCACAAAAAGAGATAACAATTTTTTTTCCAGCTGTGCAGGTTGAAATTGAAACCCAAAATGATTCTGACCTCTCAATTGTCATTAGAAAAGGGACAAGAAAATGCACCAAACAGCCACTCTATCCTCTCTCAAATTGTCTGTCCTTTAAAAATTTCTCTTCTACCCATAAAACCTTCCTTGTAAGCCTAAACACTACACTTCTACCTAATACTCTATCTAAGGTATTGTCTGACAGAAAATGAAGACAAGCCATGGATGTAGAGATGGAGACATTGCAGAAGAACAACACCTGGGAATTAGTCACCTTACTAATAGGAAAGAGACCAGTTGGATGTAAGTGGGTCTCTACAGTGAAATACAAGGCTGATGGATCAATTGAGAGATATAAGGCAAGACTAGTTGCTAAAGGGTTCACCCAAACCTATCGGGTTAATTATTTGGAGACCCTTGCTCCGGTTGCCAAAATGAACACAGTTAGGGTGATATTGTCCCTTGCTG